AAAAAAAAAAAAAAAAAAAAAAGTGGTCCCAGAAACCTGAGGGATTGCTCCCTATAGCCAGGCTGTCAGGCTGTTTTCTGGGGGATAAGAAGTGAGCAAAGTTTCTTGGCGGTGTTGTCACAGACCAAACCCAACCCAGTAGATCAGCAGCACAGGGCTAAGGGATGTGGGATATGTATAGCCTAAGCCCTGCCTGGCTTTTGATGTCCCCCAGGTGCTGGAGGTGGTGAGAGCCAACTATGACACACTCACTTTGAAGCTGCAGGATGGCCTGGATCAGTATGAGCGCTACTCAGAGCAGCACAAGGAAGCTGCCTTCTTCAAAGAGCTGGTGAGTGCCTCACGGCCGCCTCTGCCTATGTCTTATATCTTAAGGGCCCACTCCCAGCCAATGGGTTCTACTGTGCAGATGGGCCTCTAGGGAACAACTGCAGTTTGGTAAGGACAGATAAAACAAGACTTGAGGGGTCTGCTGGGATGGGGTATGCAACATCCCTCCCCCACCACACCAGGCAGTAAGATAAGATGCCCTTTGAGGTCGCATTGTGTACTCCTCTGCAGCCATGGAGACAGCCCCTGCACAGCTCCAGCTGGGCCTGGGGTTTGATGTGTATTCCCAGGCACAGCTCTGACTCATTATTCCTTAACCTGTCCTCAGGGCAACTAATGAGAGTGATTGATTCTTCTCCTTCTTATAGAATCACTTCTTCCTAAACTCCTAACTGGCCACTGGTCTGAGTGCCCTCCCAGTCTAGTTCTCCAGTCTCCACTTCCTACTTTCCAATCACTCAGCTTCCTGCAGCCCCCACCCTTGGGCACGTGGAGTCATGAGCATTTGCTCTGCCTCCTACTTCACCTCACGGTCAGTGTGTCCACAGAGCTCACCCTGTTGATGCTCCCTTTCCTGCCCTGTGCTCTGAGCTGTTCTCAGGAAGAGCTTAGCCTCCCTGTGGTCCTGTCACCCTCCCTGCTTGGTTTACACAAACATCCTGGCTGGGGATGGAGACCGGGACATGTACCCACTCCCATGTCCTCAGACATCCCTCTGCTGCGGCTGAACTTGCATCAGCTCTGAATTTACTTACCCCATGCCAAGTGTGTGGTGAAGGCACTGCGTTTTAGATAGTTTGTCTTGTGCTAAACACAGCCCAGCTCTGATCCTGACATGACATTCCTCAGGATTTTGGACTTCCACAGGGTCAAGAAGACATGCTCTGGGATGAGTTAGTTTGGAACACAGAAACCATTGGTGTAAAGAGATAGCAAGTAGAGCATTTTTATGTCGATGTGGAGGAAGTACTGAGAGCCAATGGTTACAAAGAGAGCAATCTGTGAGGAGCTGGAGAGTCTCTCTCTCTGTGAGGAGCAGTGTCTCGAGGCTCTGAGGCACTCACCATGGCCTTACTCAGCTCTGCTCGTATTTGTTCCCCTGGCACAGGGGAGCAAAGAGGGTCTGGTCCAGTTTAGAACTCATGAGCTCGAGTTGCCTGCTGTTTGCCATGCTGCCCTTTCCTCTGCTTCCTGCCTGATGACTTCGTTAAGTTTCCTATAGCATAGCAGAAATTGAAGGAAAGCTCCCGAGACTTTGGGGCCCAGAGCAGACATGCTCTCCTCCTCCTCCCTCTCCTTTTTGTTTCTCAGGCAACCTACACAGCTATTTCCTATGGGCAATTCTCCTTGATGAGTCTGCCAGATTCCTCTTGGAATCCTCTCAGAGTAGGGACTTGGGCCCTCTGACCTTTTCTCTGCAGGCTTTTCCCCTGCTGACCCACCCAGTCAACACTTTGTGCAAGGTTCTGTGGGTAGAGAGCATGTGAGGTGAGCAGTGGGCACAGAGCAAGGATATGCCCCAGACTTTCATCTCGAGTGGGCAGACATGTTTAGAAGGAGTACTAGACTAGGAGTTAAGAAGCCTTGGCCCTGTTCCCAAACTGGGACTCAGTAGCTGTGTCACCTGGCCCTGGCCATTGAAATTGGCCTCCTTGGAGCATACCCTTGCCATCTATGCCAGAAAAGGACTGCATCTCCAAAATGCTCCTTCCAACCCAAAAAAGCAGATAAATCCAAAGCAAGAGTTAAGAGACTAGAAACACATCTAAAGAGAAATGACACTAGAGCATGAGTCATCTGGCCTCAGTTTCTCCACCTCCATCAGATCACTGACCAGTCCCGTCCCCATTATGTATAGCCAAAGCAGGGACAGAGGCCAACCTCAGCCCTCCTTTCTTGTCTGTGCCTCCTTCTACCTCCCTGGGAGGCCAGATGCTCTTCTCACATCCTCCAGAGTTTGTTCCTGTCAGCCCCTCTTTTCTTCCCTGCAGTCAAGGAACTGTTTGCTCATTTGCCACAGGGATAGTAGCTGTTAAGGGTTCATTTCCTAAGAAAGACTTCTAGTGCCCCATGTAGCAGGCACTCCCCTCTACTGTTTGGAACTGATTCTACTGTTTTCTCTCTGCCTGTGCCCTCCTACCTTTCCCAGGTTCGATCCATTAGCACCAACGTCCGGAGAAACCTGGCCTTCCACACACTCAGCCAGGAAGTCCTGCTCAAGGAGTTCTCCACTATCTCCTGAGGCCACACCTACCTGAGCAGCCTCTGACTGCCCTTACCCATGAATCATGGGCCGGAGGGGGAGCGAGGGGAGCGGGGCTGCCCCCGAGGTTGGAGAGAAACACAAATACCAAGTTCTCTTGGTGAAGACCACACTTCAGTGGAGCTCGGACAGCAGGGGCAGGAGGGGCAAGCCAGGGATAATCTTATTTGGGGAGGAATGGGTGGGCACAGTGGGGAGAGGCCTCCAGGAATGTAGGGACTTGCAGAGTGGGCTCCCTAAACAGCCCCTCACATTTCCAATCTTGAGGTTACAAGCTGTGGCTACTGACTAATTTTCGGGAGCTGGTGAGACAAGTCTCAGGGTAATGCCAGCACTCCGAAAGTCAGCGGCTCTACTCGGCTTCTGAAAACAGATAAACTCTCAGATATAGCTGGACCCACATCCTGCTTCCTTTGGGCCTGGGGCTGTGCTTGGCTTGCAATTTGTGTTCCCTGCCCCCATTGGCACTCTGTCCAGTCATCAGGACCCTTGGCTTGGATTTAGGGTAGGATAGGAATAGGTTACCTTTTTTCTATTTTCTTTCTTTTTTTTTTTTAGATAGAGTCTTGCTCTATTGCCCAGGCTGGAGTGCAGTGGCACAATCTCAGCCGACTGCAACCTCCACCTCCCAGGTTAGAGCAGTTCTCCTGCCTCAGCCTCCGGAGTAGCTGGGACTACAGGTGTGTGCCACCACTCCCAGCTAATATTTTGTATTTTTAATAGAGATAGGGTTTCACTGTGTTAGCCAGGATGGCCTTGATCTCCTGACTTCATGATCTGCCCGCCTCGGCCTCCCAAAGTGCCGGGATTACAGGCGTGAGCCACAGCGCCCGCCATTTTTCCTGTTTTCTGAATTCAGTGTTGACTCCTCTGGGAAACTGGAGATGAGAATCTGCCCGTGCTCTGCTGTCCGGCCACCACTTTCTAAATTTTAATTTTGGCACCAGGAGTACTGTTAACTTTCCCCTCCTTCTGACCCATTGACTCATCAGCACAATAGGGTCACAACCTTAACTTTTCATTTCTAATCTAGTTTAATATGTCTTTAGGGTGTGTATGAAATAAACATTGACAGGTTTTTGGAGCCTTCAAGGTGCCTACTTTGCTGGTTCCCTTTCCAGCAGCTTCCCTGCCTCCCTAGCCCCCACTCCTTTGGCAGCCTCCTGCCTCTGCTGAGCTCCCCTCCACGTGTTCCACCCCCTTACCCTGCTGTTGTTTACATCCAGCCTCCCTGAGAATTTCCTCTGGGGAGGAATCTGTTCCTGTTGTGGTCTAGTGCCTGGGAGGGAGAGAACTTTCTGCAGGTAGGGTGCCCTCCATCTGAAACAGGCCAGGGGAGCATAATGCATAAGGCCCCCATTCTGTCCACTCAGATTCTGGGTGAGGCCACAGGCAAATCTCTTGACTTTTGGGGAGTCGGCCTGTGGTTCCTCCCTTGGATAGCCTCCATGGAACCACTGTAGGCTTTCCCCACAGCTGCCTCTGAAATAGCTGCTGCTTTGAGATCCTCCCTTTTTAAACTCTTTCTAAAGCGCTCAGGATGGCAGGGAGCAAACAGCACTGGTATATCCTAGGAGTAAGGGCAGGAATTCAGCAGTGAGAGCATGTCAGGGACCACCTGGGCTGCTATCCGTTTAACCTCAAATCTCTTTGGGATACTTGCCCTCCCTAGGAACCAGAGTTCTGGCTCTACTATTGAGCAGCTATGCACTAGTTCCAGAGAATCCACTAATAGGCTGCCATGTATAGATGTAGGTTCTTAAGAGATCACAGGCTGTGGGTCATCTCTGATCACTGGATGGATAGCTCAGCCTGGGGCATTTAGTGTTTTCCCTGGTGATAAACCCCAGAGCAGCTAGATCTGGAGCTGGTGGCAAGTTGAAATTATTAAAAATTGATTTGTGTGGGACTGTCTTTAGTGTCACTTTTTTTTTTCTTCTGAATCTCTGTTGCCCAGACTAATTCCTCAAAGATAGAGGTAAGGTGATCTCCTAGGTGCTGCTCCCATCTGGTTAGGGGATCCCTGCCTGTCCTTGTGAACTCTTCTCCTTCCTCTCAGTCTCCTTGCCCTAGTAGAGGCCAGTTGGGTTCAGAGAACTGTAACCTCCCTTGCCGTCTGGGTGGAAGTAGGGAGAAGGGAGTTAGTTCCCTTATCTCCAAACTTAGTGGTATTGAGGGGACAAGCCAACCCATTTGGCCACTCCTGGATTCCTGCCAGCCTTTCCTCCAAGTGAATGAGGACAGGTCTAGGGCATGGGGCACTAAGCAGAGGACTCCTTGCCCTCCATTGTAAAGGCCTTTCTCTTGACCAATTTCTTCACATATACCTATTCCAAGAACTCCAAATGAGAGTGCCCATTCTCTCCTGAAAATCAACCTCAACAGGAGCTGCCCAAGCAGTGTCTATGCCTAGCCTCTATGCCAGGTCTGTGGAGCTCCTCCAGAGCCAAGGGAGATCCAAGAGCAGGGCATTGCTCCTGAAGACAATCTTACCCTTAGCCACCTGTCTCCCCCTTATGCCAGAACTCCTGCCACAATTCCCACTGGGTTGATTAAATCAAGTGGTTGGAAATGAAGGCCAATTGAAGAGATTAAGTGTGTTTGAGTCACTTTAACTGAAGTTTTTGGTCTTAACAGGTCACTCTTTTTTTTTTTTTTTTTTTTTG